TTTTTGCCAAATGATTTTTTTGCCAAATGATTTTATTGCCGAATACTTATTTTTTGCCAAATGTTATATTTTTTTTTACCGAATTATTGTGTTTTTTTTAAGTGCCGAGTGGCATAAATTGAATCAAACAACAAAACTTCAGTATAAACTTTTATTAATAAATTTGAATTTAATCAGCTGTAATTCGGCAGCTGAATAACCCAATTTGGACTAGTGTTTCCTTATAAGATTTTTGGTTTCATTGTGAAAAATGCAGTAGTCGCTGAGTATGCTTAGTGGGCCAGCTGTAATGGATAGGGAGCACTCAGTGGGCCACTTTCATTACACTGCATTTTTCGCTTGTTTCTTTTAGTACTTTCAAATTCCTTCTTCCATTTAAGGGTTCAATGATTCTTGTGTTTGGGCAAGTTGAGAACTGGGCTATTATGGTATCTATGTCCACATTATATAGCCTGAGTACTGTAATCCATACAGTAGCTAAAGGATACCCTCCCCTTTCCAATATTTCAAAAAAAATGTAAAAATAAGAAATTATTTATATAGTTATAAGGCATAATAATGAAATAAAAATAAAAGTAAAAGAATAAAACCCATCCAATAATTGTTCAATAATTGTTTATATAAATTATATAATTTAGATACTATAGCCTCAAACACCAATCTGCTCCAAAAGTTATATTATCTAGGGTGCTATGGCTAACCAGCCCTTAACCAGCATATGCTATGGATTCCTATCTCTAGGAACCAAAGTCATTTATAGCTATATCTGAATCCAATATTATTCATTCACATAAACCACAAGAAATAAAAAATCAAAAAGGTGATAAGTATTTTCAACTATTTGTTTAATTTCAAAAATAAGAACCACTATATTAATAAAAATAAAAATAAAATATTCTTTTTCGCTCAAAAATTTTCTCTAATTTTTCTGATTTTTTTTTTTTTGCCACTTCTTTCAAAATAAAGTAAAAATAAAAAAAAAATAAAAGTAAAGGTATCAATCAATCGGGTAGAAATAAGAGGATAATTAATAATCAATTGATTATAGAAATTAAAAGTCAAAACTAAACACGGTAAACAAATCTAATATTATTGTTGAATAAATTTTAAACTATACTTAAACTAACACTATCCCATTTCTCTTTTTATCCCACTTTCCTATCCATCCGTTCCATTTTATTATTATTATTATTATTATTGTTATCCTCTTCTTTGATCGCGAGTCTTACACGCGATCATCAAATTACAATAGGTATCACTACATATGGTTTTAATCATACTAATCATTATATGCAATGTTTGATAAATTTGGGCAATGCCTTGTTTTTCGAACATATAGTAAATGCGCATACACCCGGTTCGATAGTGTCGCGACAGTATTCCTTGCAGTACCTTTCCTTGCAGTGATTACATTGCATTTGCAATAATTTCTCCGATGTAGAAAACATACGCGAGGGCTTTGATCCAGTCTTTCTCTTGTTGTGCCTTTCTCATTTGTCGATACATGGTCGCAATACCCATCACAATATCTTGATTTCCTTTGTATGGATGAAGTAAGATCTCTAGGTGTATCAGTTCGGTTGCTGCTAGATCCGCAGCAATTGTGGTAAGGTTAGTATTTAGCTCGTTTATATTCATCGTCCTTTCCCTTCTGTTCATTTGCCTTTTATGTCATTTTTTTTTATATATATCTGCCACGTCCGTCTTACCCTGGTGGTGTGATTAGTTTCGGTGCCAAGTTTTTACTGCTGCCAATGTCCCACAGGTTCTTCATACTTTTTTAACAACTATTGATTGATTGGTTTTTTCAATATTTTTCCATCTACTGTGCGCAACCGATATATGGCATTTGGTCATACCTTGTGTACATAGAATGTCTTACCCATTTCGGGTCTAGCTTGTTGCTTCATGAATTTTCCTGGGATGCTTTATACACCAATACTTTGTTCCCAATGATAGGATTTTTCTCACCTCGACATCTCCGATCGTGTCACGCTTTCATTTTTTGTTGAGCAGTGTTTACATGTATCACTGTGTTTTTTCGCTGCCGCAGCAGCACTTCTATTAGGTTAGAAATTCGTCGGTGCATTGTTCCTCCCATTGATTCATTGCTTTCGGTATGATGAATTGGGGCCCGTGCCTCCCTCCCGTAGGTCAAGTAGAATGGCATCATCCATGTCACTTTCTAACGTGCTGTTCTGTATACAAAGAGTTCCAAAGGTATCATTCAGTCCCAGTCCATCACATTATGTACTAGCTTGGCGATGGCCTCACATAGTGTGCGGTTAAATCATTTCACCAGCTCATTCATCTGTGGATGGTATGGCGTCGAATATAAGTGGTTGATACAGAACTTCTCTAAGAATGCGTTTAGTATACGACTCCTAAAGTTTGTGTCTTGATCAGACAATAGGTAGGTTGGATATCCATGCCGGTATACTATCTCCTTGTAGATAAACTCTGCTACCTTCTGCGCTATCGCCTCCCCCAAGATTCGCACCTCTGGCCATTTCGTCATGTAGTTGGTGGTGACTACTATGTAGTGATTTCCTCTAGGGGTAATAGGTAAGAATTTCATTATGTCGATTCCTATCTGTACAAATGGTTTTCCCATAGGTATGGGATGTAGGGATCCTCGCCGCTTATTCCTCCCTCTTCTTTAACACTGGTTGCAAGATCGCACGTACTGTCAAATGTTTTTGTACAGCTGCGGTCAGTAGTATATGTCTCGGATCTTATTGAACATGACGTCTCTTCCTAAGTGTCCCCCAAGTGGATGGTTATGCGTCAGGTATAAGATGGGTCCTATTTCGTGATGCCATAATACCTTCAGTAGATTACTCTTCCTGTGCTTGTCCCTTTTATAGACATCTACCTCTTTTATCATGAAGAAACTGCTCTGTGCTTGTATCCTTTCTACTTGTTGCCGTGAGCACCCCGCGGGTAGTCGTTGTTCTTGTAAGTATCTTTTCAATTGTCTATATTACTCTTCATCCATCATGTTTATCCACTTTTATTACTATTAATGTTATGATTATTGTTTGCCAGGACACCAGAACCTGGGCTAGATTCTGTTCCTCAGATTTTTGGTCTATTTTTTTCATTATTTCCATGTTTGTCATTATTTGTGTCTTTTCTTTTTTTTTCTTCTTCCCTCCCTTTTTTTTTTTTTGCTATTGGTCTACTATATTACTATTTGAGATGTCTGTTTCATCGTGCGAGTGGGTTAGGTTGTCTTTCGTTCATTCAAATCAGCTATTTCCTTCATTTCCTTTTTCTTTATCTTCCTCGCCATCCTCACCTTTCGCCCTTTTCTTTCCACTAGTTAAACGGGACAGGGCATTGGCATTGAAGTGCTTCTTCCCGACCTGATACAGGATTGTATAGCTGTATGGTTGAAGGTGAAGGACCCATCATACTCTCCTGTCCCTTAACTTTGAGGTCTCCAGTCATCGTAGTGCTAAGTGATCAGTAACCACTATAAATGGTTTCGTGCCAAGATAATGATGGAAATACTCAATTCCTTATACCACCACCAAGCACTCCAGCTCTGTTGCAGCATAATTTCTCTCAACCTTCGACAAGCTTCTACTGGCATATGCGATCATATATTCCTTTCTCGCATTGTCAACCTGAGCTAACACTGCTTCCACATCTGTCCCCAATGCGTCGGTATGTAAGTAGAATGTTCTTTCGAAGTCTGGATACCGCAGGATCGGAGCTGTGATTAGATAGGTCTTTAACCGCTCAAATGCTACTTGTTGATTGTCTGTTCACTCGTACCACACTTTCTTCTCAAGCAGCTGGTACAGCAGTTTCGCGATCGTTGCGAACCCTCGAATGAACCTTTTTTAATATGAGGTGAGACCTATAAAGCTTCATAGCTGCTTTATATTCCCCAGGGCAGGGAAGTCCCTCACCTTTACTATCTTGTCTTCATCTGGCCAGATGTTGTCTCTTCCCACAACATGTCCTAAGAAACCTACATTTGGTAAAAAGAATTTGCACTTCTCTGCATTTAGTTTTAGCGAGGCTCGACATAACTCTCCAAAAATGCAGGTTAGATAGCTAATATGCTCTAAAAACGTTTGTGAGTATACTATGATGTCGTCCAGATATACAGCCATGAATTTTCCGAGGTGGTCATATAGTACCTTATTCATTAGTCTCTGGAGCGTCGCCAGGGTGTTGCACAGTCCAAATGACATTATGCAAAACTCATAGATTCCAAATTTCGTCACGAAGGCTGTCTTTTCACAGTCTCTTTCATGGACCCGTACTTGCCAGTATCCACTAGCGAGGTCAAGATTTGAAAACCATCTTGCTTGTCCGAGGGTTTTAATCAAGTCATCAATTCTCAGTAGTGGGTAGACATTCTTTTTCGTCACTGCATTTAACTTTCTGTAGTCTACATATAGACATCGCTTCCCATTCTTCTTAGGTACTATCACAATTGGTGACACCCATGGGCTCCTTGACTCCACAATTAGCCCTTGACACCTCATCTTCGCCAACTCATTTTTCACATATTAATGCTCATCAGGGATCATTCTATACAGCATTTGCTTGATTGGTTTAGCGTTGCCGGTGTCAATCTCGTGTTGGATCACGTCGGTTTGAGTAAGTTCATCCAGTCCCTTAGTAAACAATTTTTCTTTTGCTTCAAAAAGTTTCACCACTTCTACCCTTTCTTTCTCCGACAGGTTGTCCAGATCTACCTTCAGTTCTTCGATAGTGGGCTCCTCTTCTTTCCACGTCAGTACTTTCTCCAGGGTGGCCAGGTAAATGGCGAGGCTTGGAATCTCTTCGCAGGTCGTCTCTTCTTCTTCAGATCGCTCCTCTGTATAATACTCTTCCTCCACCTCCTTACTCTCATACTCCTATTCATCGAAGGCGTCTCCGCTCTCATAGTCACCCACCTTTACCTCGTCCGGTCATGCTAATCCTTCAAGACCATTGTGCAAAATGGGCACTTTCAATTCTTTCCCTTGATACTTCAGGAGTATTTTCCGTTCATCAAAGTGTATCCGGGCCTTCCCCTTTTGTAACCAGTCAGTTCCCAGTAATAGTGTCTCATCTCTAAATTCAATAACTCTTATAGTCGCGGGGATGGTTACTCCCTGAATGGTTATATTCACCTCCCTAGCCTTCCCCAAGGTCCTTTCTCGAGTTCCGTTAATGGTGACGACAATAGAAGTGGATTTCTCATTTACTTTTAAGTGAAGATTATTCAGTAGTTTTTTTGTTATTATACTCACTGCTACCCTTATATCTAGGGTGGTGACTACAGTCTTATCCCAATCCTTATATAATATTTTGCTGCTGTTGTCTTAAAGGTGTCCACAGAGCTCACCTGATTTGCTTTTTCCAATGGCTTGGCTTGTTTCAATATCTTGAAGAGATTGCACCACTGGTCAGTATACTTCAACAACTGTTCATATGTTGCGTTTGCTTTTATTGTTAGGATGTCCTCCAAGATATTATATGAATTGAGCATGTCAACGGTTGATGGTATTTTTTTTCACCTGGGTTTCTTGATGACACCGGTTGTCTTGAGGAGGTGTATGATCACCATTGGTTCCTGCGCCCTTATAACTTTTGATGCCTTTCGTAATTTGTCCATATCTTTTCCTTCTTGTTGTCTCAGCCAACCTCTCTTCCCTGCAGCCTTAATGTGTATGCCTCCTCCTCTTCTCTCTCGTTTTCTTCTGCTTCATAGCAATATTGCACTTTCAGAATCGTGATCCTGGAAAACTCCTTCCATGCCTCTTCTCCAGTATACTGTTGGGCTATGTGCCCTTCTCTTCCACAATGATAGCAAACCACGTCTTTTTTTTCTCCGCCCCTCCGTTCTCATCACGGCTCTCTCCATTGGTTCTTTCAGTTTGTCGTAAGTTCTCTAATTTGTTGCTCGAGTTGTTCTATATTGCTTCCCAGTTTTTTTGTCACATCACTTGTTCTTTTCCAGATCTATTGCTCATAATAGTTTCCTGCTTTCACCTACATGCCACTGCAATTGCATCTGTCAAATTCTTAGGTGACGTTATGGCTACGAAAGTAGCAGTATTGCTCTTTAATCTATTTAAGAACATCCTCACTACATAGTCATCTGGGATTGTTCCCTTTGGGTCTACCCTCGTCAATAAACGCTTGAACTTTGTAGCATACCTATCTACTTTTTCGTCACTCCTCTGACTTAATCCATTTAACTCTATTTGTCACTTGTGTCATTTTTCCAACATGGCGAAATGTTCCACCAATGCATGATAGAAGCTTTGTGCTGGCTCCTCGTCATATTTCTATATTGCAATTTCATTTTTGTTTTCTTTGTACCAATCAGCTACCAACCCAAGCATGTACCCCGGGGTTATTTTCAATTTCTTCCCATCCTTCTAATCATTATCCTTTGCCATTCGTTCGAATCCCTACAGCTATTTGACTGGGTCGTCGTTCTTTTTTCCGGCAAATAGTCTCACTTTTACAGGATTAGCTTCCCGTATCCCGCTTGACTTACTTGCAATATCATTTATGGACTTGAATATACCCTTTATTAACCATTGAAATTGGTCGTCATTCATTACCAATTCACGTGGAAAGTGTTCTTGTGCTGCGGTGTTCAATTGCCGACGCATTTGCTTGTGTTTGTTTTTTATTATTTTTTTTTTTTACTTGTACCTAAAAGGAAGAATTTAATTAATAAAATAATCAATAATGGTTATAACTTTTAACATATAAATACATTTAAAAAAAAATAAATAAATAATTGGGGAGGGGTAGTGAGTGTCGCGGTTATAATTGTATAGGGGGGTGTGGGAATAAGTAAGCGGTGATGTATGTCTAACTATCATGTATATAATAATTGTGTTTGCTAAAAAGAATTGGAAGGTAACAAGTGTCGCAATTGTATTCGAATCTCACAGTTACCACCAAAAACTGTTGGTGTGAAAACCTGGCGAGTTGGTTGCTTGAGCTTGCCTCACGTCATGTAACAATAGGGCAGGTCTTTCCCTCAAAAGAGGTGTATGAATTTGGTCTGAGCTGTCAGATAATGACAGAAATCTATCAATAGATCCAGCATCACAAGGGGGTTGTAACAGGTGTAGCAATTCCACAAATATAGTATGTTGGGTTTGTGTAATAGGACAAATGTCCAACAACAGAATAGGACAGGTAAGGAGAAAGTTGCGCAGTACCTATATTGATTGTTCTTTCTTTTTGCCTATACCCTTGTTACTTATATACTTATTTGCAATATATACTTTATACCTAATATACATTTTATACCTGATATATATTTTATACCTGATATACACTTTATACCTGATATACAAATTATACTTTCTATATATTTTCTATATATTTTCTTTACTATCTTTTTTTATGCTAATAATATAAACAATTTTGATATAAAGTTTAATTTTTAAGTTAAAGAAAAAAATATATAAAGAATTTTTGAATATTGAAAAATGAAAAAAAATTAATATAAAAAAGAAACTTTTAAGAAAATCATTATATACAGAAAAAAGGTTTTTTTTTTACTATTATATATGTTTCTTTATTATTATAAAAAAAAATTAATTAATTTTTTTTTTTGTTTCTAATCAAACTACAATTTAATATACTGTATTTATTAATTTTTGAATAAAATAAAACAATAATATATTAAATTTTAAGACTTTATACTAGAGTTAAACTATGCATATTGCAGAACACTTGTCAATAAGTTATTTGTAAATTATATATAATTATTGAATCCTTAATATCAAGACTACTGTATTGTCTATATTATTTAGCTATTTATTAACTATTTTACTACAAAAAAGTTAGTTTATCAAGCTATTACTATATAATATTAATTATTTTAAACTTCAAATCTTAACTTTTTAAGTGTGATTATTGGAAATAATAAAGTTATTTCTTTTTTAAAACTGTTTCTCGATCTTGAGAAAAATTACAACTAGCTTATATTTAAATTGTCACTTTAATATAAACCTGTAGTCCTAAAAGATAAATAAATAAAAAAATAAAAAAAGAATAATTGAAAAGTTTGTTCTGGTAAATAAAAATTCTCCAATATTAATTTTAGTTTATTGAAATAAATCTTTTATCACTACTTGTAGCTGGGCAACCCATTTAATTTTTACTATTTCATTGCTAACTAAGGATACTCAAGATATTTATAATAAGATTTACAATAGAAATTATTATTTATAAAGTTTTATAACTTAAATATTTGATATCTTTTTTCAAAATAATCATTAATAGAGAAAACTTGTTACTGGATTAAGATATAACTTTTTTTGATTTTGGAGAGAAAAAAAAAGATACCAAATCATTTCTATTTAAAAGAACACTATAACATCTTGCTCTTTTGCTTTCTTTAATTATATCATTATTGTTATATTGTGGAACAGGAATATATAAAGAGTATATGTCTTATTTACCTTTTTGTTACATGTTGATTAATCAATTCAAAATCTTAATCAATTATCAATTGGAGATTCTGGTGTAACAAAAAATTCAAAATCAAATTAAAATAAACAAAATTTCTTAAAAATTTTTGAAAATTTGTTGGCACATTTGAAAGAACTACTATAAATATTTGATTGGTAAAAAGAATCATATGTTCATATCTATAGATCAGAATACTAGCTTATTTACTATCTCCAATAAAAATATTTATTTATGGTAAATTCAAGATTTTTATAAAGTTTGAAAAATACATTTACTAATAGACTTTTTTAGAATTTCAAATCTTAAAAAAGAGTAAAGGATAATATTTTTTTAACAGGTTTCTTCTTTCCAGTAGAATGTTCTTATTTTAAATTAAATAGATAAGTTTTGAATATTTTATTACTAAGATATTCAAAAAGTTTTAAAAAAGAAAGATAAATAAATAAAAAGAAAAAAATTAAATTATGGAACTCTTTTCACTGATCCATTTGCCAATTCAAAAAACAGACATTTTAAAAAAATTTTATATTTCTTTATAGAAAAGTTTATATACTTTTTTTAATAACACTACTATCTAAAGACTATAGTCTTTCTTTACTTGTTTTCTTTTCTTTTTGAAATAAACTTTTTGTATTTTGACAAGTAAATATAAGAAAAACCTACTTACAAAGTCAAAAGAAATAATACTTTATTAGAAAAAAGAACTTGTAAAATAACATTCTTCTTTTTTTTTCCAGAAATTCAAAACTCTAAAAAAGATTACTACAGATTTTAGGATAGGACTTCAAAAAGTACTAAACTGGTATCAAACTGGTATCAAAATAGTATTGATTTATAGTAAATTTAATATATAGATTTAAACCTACTTATATGATCTTATAGTAAATTTAAATATTAAACTAGTATCAAAGTAATATTAAAATAATATCATTAGGAGCTCTACTTTTAAACCTTTTTTTTTATTTTCAAGTCTTCTTTCTATCTTTGCAAGCATATAAACATTTTTTTAATTTTTTTAAGGAATTTTGCCTATTTCAGTTTGATCTTGAATTTTTGATTACACCAGAATTCCTGAATAATGATTGGCTCAAAATTTGGATTGGTTGATCTGCACATAGCAAGAAATATAAACAAGACACATAAATTTCATATGTTCTATCTTGTATAACTTATACATGATAATGTAATCAGTTATAGTAAAAAAAGCAAGATGACGAAATGTACTTTTTAATAAAAGAAATAGTTTGGTACTTTTCCCCTCCTCTCTTGAACTGGTTTCATTTTTCTTTAAAATTAAAAAAAAATCTTATTCCAATTCAATAATAGGCTAGCTTTACTGTGAATTATTCCAAAAATAATTGAAAAAAAGGATTTTAAAACTATTCACTAGTTAAATAAAACTATAAATCTTTAAAGAATTGGCCAAAAAAGAAATTACCAATAAATAATAATCTCCTCTAAAGGTTAAAAGTCTTCAAATATAAAGTTTCAAAAAATACTCTC